CGCCCCCCCCCCCCCAGACTACAAGGCATTGCAGGATCTGCACCATAGGTTGGCCTGGAGTCTCAACCTGCAAGTGGAAGGGGTGGCTGAGCAGGAAAACTCCTCGGTGGACATCTTGACATGGAGGTTCTGTCCAGGATAACGCTTCCCATAATTCAAACTATTTAGTTCACTGTCAGGACCATTTGGCATCCCCCCACCTCTGTCTCCCCAACAGCCAAGGAAGTTGAACAAAAATACTTTATTCCGTTGGCCTGGAGTCTCAACCTGCAAGTGGAAGGGGTGGCTGAGCAGGAAAACTCCTCGGTGGACATCTTGACATGGAGGTTCTGTCCAGGATAACGCTTCCCATAATTCAAACTATTTAGTTCACTGTCAGGACCATTTGGCATCCCCCCACCTCTGTCTCCCCAACAGCCAAGGAAGTTGAACAAAAATACTTTATTCCTGTAAAGGGCTTTGAGTGCTTATTCATCTCCCCCTCTCTCCCCGCCACAGTGTTCCCTTGTGAATGAGGAGGAGAGGCAGGGGCACCAGGCACTGGCATCTTGACCTATTTGAATACAAGGTATATTCCAAAGGGGGTTTGTTCCTTAGGGTAGCTAATCAACAACCTACCCTGAGCAGATGCTATTATAATTCCTGGGCTTTCCTCCTTTAACTCAAGGAGCTCCTGCGCCCAGACTCCTGTGATGAATTTGTGGTGTTTCAGGATGGGAAGGCAGTTGCCCATACATCTCTTCAGGCGTCACTGGATACGGCAGATTTTACAGCTCAAATGCTCTCCTCAGGGATTGCTATGTGCTGCAACGCCAGGTTCAACTATCTGCTCTTCTGCTGGAGGTCCAGCAAATTACCCAGGACCTCCTGTTTGAAGGCACAGGTCTTTTTGCAGAACAGGCCAATTCCTGCCTGCGCAGCATGAAGGACTCCAGAAACACCATGGAACTCTTAGGCGTGTACATCCCAGCAATCCAGGTGAAAATATTCTAGATGCTGCTCAAAATAGCCTTGAAATAAGTCGTTCTGTCCCCAGTTGGGGCAGGCAAAAACCGCTTGAAGCAGCCTTTCTGAAGGGTGCACCCAAGGTCATAGTACCAACTGCCCTTTTGGATCTCTCCTCTCCCTTCCAGAATCATCTGCCCCATTTCCACCAGGTCTTGTTTGCTTTGGATGCCTGGGTTCTCTGTACAGTGGAAAAATGATATTCTATCCTGTTCTGCTCCCACTCTCCCTTCCACCCCATTTGTCTGTCCCTCTTCAGGGGCCCCTTTTGTGAGCAGCTCCTCCTGCAGGAGGTGCAAGCACTCCTAGCCGTAGGGGCAGCGGAAGAGGTTCCTCAGGAGTTCAGAGGCATGGTTTTTTGCTCCTGCTACTTCCTGATCTCCAAAGCAAAGGAGGGCCTCAGAGGACTCAACAAATCATCTCTAACCACAAGTTCCGCATGGTCTCCCTGAGCTCTATTCTTCTTTCCCTGGCTCCAGGGAATTGGTATGTCGCCCTTGATATAAAGGAGACTTTTCACATCACCATCAAGCCATTCCACAGGTGATACCTCCAATTCATGGTGAATGGTGTCCACTACCAGTTCACTGCCCTCCCACTTGAGTTGTCCACAGTGTCCTGTGCCTTCAGCAAATGCATGGCAGTGGTGCTACTTTTCTGTGCCATCAGGGCATTCCAGTTTACCGTACCTGGGCAATTGACTTCTCTGGGGCTGGACTTGCCAGCAGATGGATGCTCACATTCTTCTGACCCAGTTGATGCTAATGCATCTGTTTCGGGTAATCATTGCCCACAAATCGATCCTCACTCTACCCAGATGTTCCTTCCAGAACCACAGCTTGTGGCCATGTCACAGTTAACTCAGTCTTTCTCTGCCTTTCCCATGAACACAGCCAGGCAGTGCCTCAAACTCCTTGGACACATGGCAGTCTGCATCTGTCATGCTGTTCACCAGGCTTCACCTCTGACTGCTGCAATCCTGGCTAGTATCCATTTACCGGCCGAACTGTGATAGTATTGACATAGTGGTGATGTGTCTGCAGAGCATCCTAGAGGTGCTTTGTTGGAGCCTCGAAATGTGCAGTTCGTTGTTTCTTCCTCGAATAGTGTCCCCAAGGGTCTCCACTCAAGGTGCTGGGCTCATCCCAGCACCGCAAACTGGAGAATCTTCAGTAGCAGTAGCCCTGCCGGACCTCGCATGCGCCGTTCAGCTGAGTATGGTCTGGCCTTGCCAGTTTCCTTTCAACCGTCTGCGGCCACAGACAGAGTTAGGACTCTTTTCTGAGGAGTACGGGAGATTAGTTTCAGAGCTATAGTCTTGTCACTTAATAGTTATTAGTGTTAGGATCGTTCTTTCTCTTAATAGTTACAGTTCTGTTCAATTTAAAAAAAAAAAAATTCTCGTCCCAGTTTTAAGTTGTCAGTAGAAACGTAATACAGACTAGAAGATCATGCCAGGATCACCTGGCTTTAAGAAAATGCCCCCAGTGCCAGGATGCCATGCCTGCATCGGATGGGC